GTTCACGGGGTCACAAAGAGTCGGACACAAATTAACGACTGAACAACAACAAAAATTGTTTTTAGAGAGTCCTTGTAAAGAAAACAGACTGCCTGGCACAGGGGGAAGTCCTTGTCCCCTACCACCCAAATCTGTAACAGGAGGAAAGGGGAAGGCAGGAAATTTCAAATTCTTAAAGTCACATAAGTGAGAGTACAGTGAATAACTGACATGGCCACTGAGGTCAATGGAAAAAGAGGAACCGAAATGGTGACCAACAGAGTCGGCTTTGTATTGGTCCTCTCCCCCAAATGCAGCCAAAATAAACAGTTTGGGCAGAGAAGGAGTCATACGGCAATTAGCTTGGCAGATCCAATGGAATGGATATTTGTGACGGTTAGTAGGCCAACGGTAATTCTGTGGGCAGACCAGTTATTTTGTCCCATGTGATAAAACTAGTCACTGATATTTGGAGGATAAGGGGAAGTAAGATGAAGAAAGCAGAAGGACGCAGCCAACAGACTCTAAATAACTTGGAGTTGGTGGTAACCTAGATCCATATTTAGCAAGCTCATTAACAAAATTAATGGACAACAATAACCCATTTTAATTCTGAGCAAAGGAAAGGCTTGTACTTTTCTCCAAAGGCCAATTAAATCATACTGCCAGAGAAGACAATGGGGAACATTGTCTTAGGCTTTCTGTTTCCTTCTGCAAGGCCTAGCCACCATCCTCTAAGGCAGGGGTTCCTAAACTTTTTGCCATCACATCCTTCCCTTGGTGTAATTTTAATGTACACACCTCCCTTAAAAATCCAAACACCCAAATGAACACAAATAAACAATGAAAACATTACAATGAAACTTTGGGAAGGGTGGATTTATTGTAACAATGTACTAACAGGTTCTTCACACCTCCCATGGACTCTGTCTGCACCTCCACAAGAGAGGTACGCTTCACAATTTTGGAAACCCTGCTCTAAGGCCAACATGCTTGGCTGCAATTTGGTGGTCATCAGAATGTTTGCAGGCCAGATACAACAGCCTCACCATCCTCCCACAGCATACAGAAGAGGAGAAAAAAAGAAAGAAGAAAGATAATGGCAGCTTCAAGGACTGTGATCTTAGGCCTAACAAGTTTTGTGTTTTCATGTGTTTTCACCCATCTGACTGACAGAATCAGTTATATCTGTTCTGTGAGAGGAAAAATGCTAGTGGCCTAAAACTTATTTATTAGCTCTGGGAACATTATGATTCAGCTGAAAATCCTGAGAGTCATGATTGTGGTTTGCGATTTTAAAGGATAAAAAGGATTGCATCTAAGGGGTCAGGACCACTTGGTCAAGCTGTCTACCTGACAGCTCGGTCCAGCTGGTCCGCATGGCAATGTGAATCTAAGGAAGTATCTTGTATGCTATTGACTGGATTTTACTTACTCGTTGAACTAACATTTAATAAAGTTTTTAGAACTTTGAAGTGACTTGTTTTATGGTGTATCTGTCTCCCGTGTTTAATGTGAATTTTCCCTGACAGTTCCTTGCTTCCCAGTGCTATGAAGTCCACAGGATGATACTGGTATCTTTAACAGGTCTGTAAGAGGCAAGACGGTGGAAATAACTCACCAGTTCTGAATGAGGCTGATAACCTGTGAATAAGTTTTCCCAATGATGCTTTCACCGTTCACTTTAACCAGTCGGTCTCCTGCAAAAAAGATAGGAAACTGAGAAGGCACAACCTTCTTACATGCATCACATCTCGCACTGAAGGCAAAGAAGAGAGAAGAGGAAACATACTTTATTGATCACATGTACAAAACCATATAATATTCTATATTATTTTTTTTAAACCCTCTGAGTTAAGATGATCTCCAGTAAGAAATGCAGCACTTTAAAAACAGCATAACTTGAAATTTAACAGATGCATTTTTGAATAATGTAATTGCTTTTAAAAAATGTTAATGTTTTAATTTCTAAAAAAGAACAAAAAACAAATTAAAAGGTAAAAAAACCAAAACCAAACAGAAAATAGGAAAAAAGGAGGAAACAACAAAAACATATTATGTTATTGATACAGGAAATCATTCAGGCCAATTTTCAAACACATTGTTAAAACCTGAACACACGAATAATATTGATTAGTCTCTCCATTACATTGATAGAGAGGCAGTTTATAAACATAAAGCAGGTTACTGTCAATCTATTTTAGCTAACTAATACCAAGTCCCATAAATGGCACAGCATGAGAAAATAGGAGGAGAAAATCCAATGAGAATTGTTTCTGGGTACTTCTACATAACGGTCATACCACAGATAACTCTTAAATGGGCCAATAAGGAGGGTTTTAGTGTATTAGGCTAACCTTCCAAGAGGGAAGGCCTAGCCATGCATAGGATTAAACATACTCCATTGTCCCATCAACAGTGTATTGGGAACTGCAGATGTGAGGTTAACTAACCCTTATCTCTTGCAAAATGGAGATATTCAGTGAAAATGGGACCGCCCTAGACCCTCCATCTCGATATCTAGTTTGGTTTTTACTTTTCAGGCAGTGAAAAATGTACAGAAAGGTGGGAAAGAACCCCTTGAAACTTTTCAGAGGCACATAGAATTTTTCTTTTTTTCTTTCTGCTCCAGTTTGGGAAAAAAGAAAAGGAAGTGGGGCAGGGGGTGACAGGTAGGAAGACTGAAAAAATGGCTGCTTCAACATGGATCCAACCACCCCCAATCATGTGCTGTTGGTGCATGATAATCTACTGACTGGGAATGGGGAAACTGCGTCAGTCATGTCATGAGAATAGTGCCATATAGTTGTGATAAGGAGATTCGTGTCTCACCTGTCCGGAGACCAGCCTTGTGTGCTGGCCCATCTTCCTTTACATTTTTGACAAAGATGGTGTCCATGGGTTCCAGACGGTTCCGTGGAGGTGCTGTACATTGATGATGACAAGAAAGAATATATAGTACCAGGAGTCTTGATATTTCTCTTATTTATTTGCATGTTCTAAGATAAAGCCACACAGAATTCTGAGACCTGAATTACAACAACAAGCTTCAAGTTGTTTGGCAGGCTGTCTATGAGGGTCTTAGTGGAATCCCATTAATTGGAATGGGAACTTTGTAAGAAATTATTCCAACATTCCCTGAAAAATAACCATATGGTATTACAAAATCCATGGAAAGAAAGAGAAAAAGAGGATAACCAACAGCAAAGTAAATGGATTTAATTACAGCAGCAATGGGTGCCTCACTAGAAGACCTGAACTACCAGGTTGAGGGCAGATCATCTTGAAGAAGATATATCTACATGGTCACTAAGAGTTGACACTGACTTGATGGCACATCATCACCATCGTCACACAATCCAAAAGATGCACAGATGTTCTCCATGACTACACTAGCACTGCCCAGTCTTGACTATTCCAAAAGTGCCCAGTGCCTGCTTCTTAAAGGTGATTAAGTGCAGCATCCAGAAAAGCCGAAAGATTTTTATGAAGGACAAAGAGAAAAGATGCATTTTGATGGCATCAAGTCTGCTCAGTTCAGAATCCTGCTTCAAGGCACTGGAATTGCACCCTGTCTTTCAAATGAGGAGAGAACAAAGAGCAGCATGGTTAATTAAAACTTAGCTGACTTCACACTGATCCTCTTCCAGTGACTTGGAAAGAAATACTGAGATTGCTCCTCAAACTCCAGGACCTGGATCTTATGTCATTCTTTTAAGAGACATATACAGATATGATTGCAAACCAGAATAAACTAAGACAGCCTTCTCCCACCTGGACACTCTCCAGATCTGTGGATCCTTTCCCAGAATTTTCCAGTCAACATGACTATTGCTGAGAATTCTAGGGCTGTAGTCCACATATCTGGAAGGCACCTAAATTAGGGAAGGATGGATTCACTTTGGAGAAGAGGGACTTATCAGTCTAGATGCTTATAATATATAACAACAACAGCACTATGGTACAATGGGAATATGTCTGGTTCCAAGCCTTCCAAACAAACTACACATTTCTTTTTTTCTTTTTACTCAAACATATGCGATGGAAATTCAGCTGTGATTTTAACATGGAGAAGGACATTTGTAATTGTTTGACTTCTATTTTATGATGGATTGTGAGACCTATACCAAAAATATGATATTGCCAAAAACTACCTAGTCATTTTCAGTGGATCACTTTTTGGCAAAGTTAATAATGAATGTAGCTCACAAAAGGAATACTGTATGGTGATCAGGTATCAAGTTTTATAGTTTCCTTACTCTCCACATAATAAAGGCAGACAAAAAGTCCTGACTGGAGGGTGGTTCCCCCCCCCCCGAAAAAGGTGTGGCTCTTGCTCCAGACTGAGATCCTGTGTACGAAAACAACGTGGTAGGACACCACCCTGCTTCCTTGTGGCCCTTGAAGGCTATTGCAGTAGGGTATTCTCCTAGCTAAAAAATATGCCTTTCACTGTTTTGGACCATTTATAAAAGTGATGTTCTTTGCTTGCATATCAAGAATTTTATTTTGTGGCATTACAGCAGTTTTGCACATGGAAAGAGCTGAATCACAGGTGCATTTTAGTTATATGCATGGATTGACTGGCCTTGTCTGGCCTCAGAAGCAAAGCAGGGTTGGGCCGGTTGATATATGGATGGAAGTCTAGTAGGAAATCTAGATAGGCTAGACTGGGAAATCAAAAAACATTCCAGAAGGCAGCAGTGGCAAAGCACTTCTATATTGTTGCCAATAAAACTACGCAGATGCATCCATGAGATCACCAGGGGTCAAGCCTGACTCAAAGGAGACTTTATGTTTTTATAGAATGGCTCAGGTACAAAGAGTACACTATATATCAAACCTAACCTGTCTTCAGCAAGAGGGAGGGAGGGAAGACAAACGTTTTGTTAAAAAACTAACATTTTAATGAGAATGCATAACTGAATTAAAACACCCAGTGTAATGCACTGAAGAATAATGTGCAAATAGGAGTAAGCAAAGGGAACGAGTGGGGACTAATGAGGAAGAAATAATCCCTAAAAGGCGGCAAGCACCAATAGACACCCCCCCCACACACACACACACACAAAATTTAACCAGTAGGGCTGCTTTTAGAACCAATAAGGGTCTAAAATGGCTGTAGTCAGGACTGAGCATCAACCCAGCCCTGTTGCCAAACCACCACAATCAAGACTCAAAATGTTTAAATTGACTTCAGAAACAGGCAGAAGTTGCACAGGAGACAAGCAGGTTAAGCTGACATGCGGAGTTGTTCTAGGTACACGCTCTGGCCATCAACACCCTGATGGACCCTGAAGATTCTGTTTAGCGCACACGCCTCCAAAATGTCCTCCTAATATATGGTCAAAGAAATACAGCAACGTACCTGTTCTGTTTCCATTTTCTTCTTCCTGGAAGAGAGAAAAAGAAGGATGTTGAAACACATACACACCAAGAATGTTGCAACCCACACACCACACCCACACACTCAAGGGAAGAGTTCCTTATCATTTTTATCACTATTTTTCCTTTGTAAAATTGCTCTACTGAAGTTCCCTTCCCTCTCCCAAATATTTTACCCTGCACTGGGGAGAAGAATAGCTTGAGTGACTAATCCTGAAAAAAAGTAACTAATAAGGGAGAGGTAAGGACACTGCCAGTTACAGCTTCCAATGACCATTAGCTTTTCTTTTTAGAAAAATCACAAGAAAAATTCCATGCGCTGCTGAATTATGTTGCTTAGCCCTTAGAGGTGCCGATAAAAAGACATATAAGTTTGCCTCCTATTTTCAACTAATATTAGATAAGATTTATAATACAACCCTATGTATAAAATATATATGCATCTAACTTATGCATTTTCCACAGATCAAAAAGTCATAAATGGCACACTAGATTGAAATTATTATCCATAGTTACGGATATTGCTACAGAAATGCTTGCTACTACTTTCAATCAATATTTAATTAAGAAAGCATTCCCACACAACAATGCTGTTTCCAGAAAACCTGTGATTCTTTTTTTAATCCAGAGTAGTGAAGATCTGGAAAATTCTCCTCTACCATTTTGGTCATCAAAAGATGGACACAACAGTCCCAGCCCAAGACAAAGGACTGGGGACAAAACATAAGAATTTCAAGTTTTTATTGTTTTCTTCATGTGTTCAGGTGATGGAGCTGTTACAGTAGATGGTTGGCAGATCTTAATTCTTGTGTGTTTTTCTTGCAAACCAATAAAGATGTTGAAAGGTTTTGCTTCTCATCTGAAGCCAACATGCAAGAGTGAGGAAGAAAGGGATACAAAACGAAGCTCCTGCTTTCTGAATAGAATGGCACCTCATTGTATGTCTAAGTGCTGTTTCCAAGCAAAGGATCAACCAGGCCCTTCATAGTTCTAATACCCATGTTTGTATGCAATTCTGACTAATACAGGTATCATTGGCAGCAAATAATTGTTCATTGTATATGCCATTTTCACTTATATAAATATTTTTGTTAATATATGTAATATGCACCCAGATTTTTTAAATTAATACAAACATTTTTGATTCAAGAACTATGCAAAATTCACAGAATGTAGTCAGTATAAAGATACCTGTTCTTAAATTTTGAACTAATGTAATACAAATGTCATTAATATTACTGTGGAAACAAGGGAAACTGGGATACTGTGGAAGCAAAGATTAATACAAAGAATGTCACCAGCACTGCCTAGAGACAAGAGAGGAACTTGCAAATTCTGCCTTACACTGGCTTGCTTCTGCACCTGTAGTACTCCTAGTAAGTTCACCGGGTGATAGGGGTCCTTTCGTTGGTACTAAGCAGCCACAAACTCAATTCATACAGGCCAGCCTGCTGCATTCCAGAACTAAATCTTATGCTCAGAAAGAAGTGAAAAAATAGCCAATGCTATTAACAAAGCATCTACATTCTACTGCGTGTTATCCAGTCTAGTCACACTGAAATGAATGGAGCAAATTAATCATGATTAACTTAAGGCCAATTGATTTAGATGAGTCTATTGTATGTATAATTAGTCTGACTACAATCCGATGAAACTGACTTGCTCTATTAATAAGGCTATTTTTTCAGTTGTACTACACTTTCCATTTTGCTTTAATCTCTGCAATCAGTTGAGTAATAATTCATCTTCCTTTAATATTCTTTAATATTACCTATGTTTGGGTGTTGTGAAATGAAAAATCCATGTGATGTTCAACGACTTCTTACACAATTCTTGATGCATTGTTGCTAAATAGTTCTTTTTCTCTTTTTAAACTGGAGATAACAGGTCCTATTCATGCTTCTGTGTGCAGCAACACACCTTTTTTGGAACTGTGTAATTTCTTTATCACCAACTCAGCTATCTAAAAAGCCCATGACTAATGTTCAATCGCTGGAACACTTGTAGATTGTGGCAAGATTATTTCAAACATGACTATCCATCAACTTAACTGGTTCCTAAAGCATTCATTGGCTTCCCTGATTTGTACTGGCTACATGAACAGGTATGCAGCTATAGCTAAAAACAAGTTTTAGAATCATTACTCTGTGTGTAGAGTTATTTATAGGATCTCTATCAGCATATAAAACTAACATAATAAGTCAATTATCCAAGTACTGACTACTCATCTTACTTTATCTCAGGGTTTCTGTAAATGAAATGTATTTTCAATCTACCACACAGTTACGGCCTCACTGCTATCATGTGTCCTTTTCAAAAGCTAATCTGATTACTCAAACAGCCCAAGATGTTCAAACAATAATGGCTGCAATCCAGCCAAAGATGAGCACTTTTAAGGCATAATGTTAGGTCACATTTTCTCATTTAAACAGAATAGTTCTCATTGCCTTGTACCTTACATTTAGTTCCCACCCACCCACCCATGTTTGAGCCACAACTTAGCTTAGTATGATTCCTTTATTAATAGTTATTTGTCCATTATATTTGTTATTTCTCATAAATAACATCCCATTTTCAACTTCTAGCCTGCAATCTTCTACCCCAATATGCAAACTTTGGCCAACTTTGCTTTTAAGATATCAGTTAGGCTAAGCATAAAATTACATATAATTCAAACCAGCCTTAAAATAGAATAGTTAACCACTGCAAACAGATGTCATATCCAGAAAACTCAACATCACTCTGTAAGGGGAAAAAACTGGTCCCCCCAAACTCATTTCATTTCCCCTCCCACCACCCAACCTCAGCAGGAAGACAATATGTATGTACAGTAGTACCATTAAAAGCCAAGGAAAGGAAGGGAAATATAAAAGCTACCCCCCATCAGAATATAAATTGAATGAACAAATAAATAAACAAACACAGTGATAGTTGGAAACTATAAAAAAGAGGTGTTTGTAGAACTTCTTTACATTTATGGCATATCTCAATGTTTGTATCATTCAGAATAAACCCCTTTTTGTCCCGTACTCAACTATAAATTAAATCTCTGAAGCTTCTGCATGAGAACTACCCTGAGACAGAAAAGAATTTGTCTTCAAACCCTGATGTCATCATGTCTCCTTGACTATCTCAAGAGGCTGGTGCATCTTCCTTCATTCCCAGCTCTATGTCTTTTCTCCTCTGAGAATTAGATCTTGTCAACTCACATCACAACAAAAGATTCTCAAAGACAGACCCTTCAGCCAAAATGCAAATTCAAATTCAAATATGAATCCATGCACATATAGCAGTGTGGAAATAAAGATGCTAAATATAGCCATGTTTACAGTTTCTGACTGGTTCCAGTGAGGCAGACATTGGCTTCTGGGGTGATGGGGGTAGGCTAAGCAACAATTCTCTGCTTTACAGGAGGATGCAGAGAACTGCTGTCATCTCAACAGTGCACACCAGTTTTACAACAAATTTATGGGACAAGAGGTTTTCCGGAAGAGGATTTTCCCTTCTCCCCATACCATGCAACGGATCTTGTTTGCTCAAATCATCTGGGGAAGCATACTCCTTTCTGAAATTTACTTCCTTCCGGTATGGGAACAAGATTGGCACAGAATGATTGAGGAGGTGGGAGGGCGATGAACTACTCATATTCCCATTCCAAACCTCATTCCTATTGATCATCTTCTCCCTCCTTGATCCTTGTGGAATTCCTCATCCCTTAAGAAACTTAGTTCATTGACTTTTCTTTTTAGTTCATCACCAAAAATCATTAATATGCATGAAGTGTACTAGGTTTCTGCAAATACATAAGCTTTGCTATAACTAAGTCAAAATATGTATAATTGAAATCACTGCATAATCTCCCCTTGCTTACTCACCTATGTCTCTATTTAATTTATCTGGAATTTCCTTACGACTAGTTAAGATTTTAAACTTGTAGAGATAGGGACCAGTCATACCTGTTCTGTCTAAAGAACATATACACAGATAGCACTATATTAATTAGCATACACAGACATTATAGTGGCATTCTTAGAAGCGATGGGCACAGACAATCTGTCTCTTCACATAATTAGTTCAGTTTTAATGAGTTTTAAGAACTTTTAAGGAATATCTGAATGTTTTTCCCCAAAATGCAAAATATGATGACACTCCTGGAGAAAGTTTTCCATCAATTCTATCACCAATCCCCTTTTTCACAACACCAAACTCTTGAAAAGGAGAACAGAGGTGGGAGAAGCTCATAGCAGTGGCAATTATAAAGACTTAATCTTTATGGGATAAGTCTTTATAATTGCTTGTGCACAGCACTCACTGGCAAATCTGGAAAATGAAGCTTTCTATGCCTTCTAGCTCTAAGGACTGTCCCAAAAGTTACTCTCATCATATTGGATGTTTTGTGGCAATATCTAGGCCTTAGAGAAGACGTCTCTACCATTTCCAGAAGCCTCTTTTATGTTCAGACTACCTCTTTCATCAAAGCACATTTTCAGAAAGGAGGGGAGCATAAAAAGCAAAGCAGGTGGCTCCAGGAAGAAGCTATTTCAAACCAGACAGAAGTGATAGAAATCTGGAACTTAGCTGAATAAGCTTAAGCAATCTTTTGAATTCATGTCTACAAGCCTACTTGTGAATTCTGGCACCACTGCTAATTACTTGATTGAACAGGAGGTCCATCTAATTCTGCAATTTGTCTCCCATAGCATTCATCCCTGTTTGAATCGCCTGGGACACCCACAGAAAGGGAAAGCTAGAAGCAGAAATCCCAAGCCATTTGCCAATAATATCTCACTACACTAGAAGAATGGGAAGTGGAGTTTATAGAATAGGCATCTGCAGGAGGGAGGGAAGTGATGGAGCAATGCAAACCCTGCCCCTAACATATTTGCCTCATCATTTTAACATTATTGCAGCTAGTTGCAAATTCATGGTACTAGTCTTAAGGTGGTGTGGCATGGTGGTGGGCTGGATGAATGGGCAGGCTTCTGCATTGCAATGTCTGTTTCAGATA